AAATTTAAATCATATTTTAGAGTTACAAGCCAGCAATTCTCATTCCTCCTTGATCGTTTGAGAAAAGATTAGAGCAAGGAACCATGTAATCGTGTGCGACATCCTATTTCGCCACCTGAAAAACAAGGCCTAACATTGAGGTATATAAAAATAATATTTTTTTCTGAGATTGACAAGAAATGTCAGCATTTTTGACCGGTTGACAGGTCGCAAAACTCAAGATTCTGGTATTTTAATTATGCTTCAATAGTTGCTAGGGAATCAACGAATAACAATACGGGAATCACTTTTCCGGCCTAGGCCGGAAAAGTGAGTCTCGTACTGCTGAATAATTGGAGCAAAAAGGCAACCATTTAACAGATATTTAACCGATCGCAAAAAAAAATAGTATGTGTATTTCGGTGAAAAAGCACATTCTCAGCCTTCGGTGTTTACCGGCCTCGGCTACGCCTCGCCCATCAACTTACACCGTCGGCCGGGAATGTGTCACTTTTCCACCTAAATACACAATATACTATTTTTTTTTCCAAACACGCAGCGTACAACTGGATAGACTGCTCTCCGAGCAGTCGTCCAGTTGCGTCGACCGTATTACGCTAGCGCAAGTCGTTTTTACGCAGTGTAGGAAAACACCTCCATTTGATTTTCATTAGACATGTCCTCAGCGTTTTACGCCGACCGAATTACGTTCTACGCCGCGTAAAATGTGCGTTGCTAGGAAAACGCTGCTTTAAGCTAATTTCTTTTTTGATGTATTCATCGCGACGATCGGGACGCAACTGAAAATCCTAGGAAAACACTTTTACGCAGCGCATTGGATGTTACGTTGCGTCGACCGTATTACGTTCTACGCCGCGTAAAATGTGCGTTGCTAGGAAAATGCTACTTAATAAAATAAATGTTTTTTAAAAATACAAGTTTCTGAATCGAAAATATAATTGACGCGTCGCGCTTCAAACTTTTCGCTCGAAGCCACATTCGACAATGTATCAATTTGCGCTCTTTATACATAAATCGCAAAATAGCCAAAAGTTAATCTTCAATATATAAGTATAAGTAATATTTATGTGACGCGCATGGAATTTTGAACGCTGAGCGCAGCGAGGCGAATCAAATCCATGCAAGTCACATGAAGAATACTTATACTCCGAATGAAATACGATATATTATTTTCAAACAATCTTTATTCCGAATAGTGCAGAATTTTTAATTTAAATAATGACATTCATATTTAGAAGGATCACCTTTATAAGCACCATTGATAAGCACCTATACCTGTATGTACAGGTAAACTACCTTAAATCACCATGGAAAAACATGTGTAATGCCCGTATTAAATCTGTGTATTTTTCCGTGTATTTATTCATGTAGTTCAGGGTGCCAACATTATTTTGTTTTTCATAATGCTGATTTATATTGCGTTTAACGTTTTTCGGTTGTCACTCTGAACTACATGAATAAATACACGGAAAAATACACAGATGTAATACGGGCATTACGGCGTATAAGTGTTATACTCCGGCGGAGTATAACACTTATACGCCTCTCAAGCTGAAAGTCATTGAAGTGACACTTATACCTTGTCAAAATGATCACAAAAATTACTGTTATATGACGTTTGAAAATAAAATGATTTGATTTGATGAAAAAGCTGGAGCAATCCTTGAATAGGTAATAAATGTGGTATTTTTTATTCACCGAAAAATTTATTTTTTTCATTTTGTTTGAAATCAACAAAGTGATTGTGATCCTTGTTATTTTGTATTTGATTTTTATATTTCTGATATTTGTTGTATTAAACTCGAAATGAGTGGACAGGTTGAAAATTTGGTACAGTTGAAAAAATTATAGAGAATTTATTACTTACCTACATAATATTAGGTATACATGGTGAGGCACGAAAAACTTCCCACCGAGGTTATCTCAGGTGTTCGGTGATTAATTAACAATTGCTCGGACACGTCATTTTTTGTTTTTTTGGGGGACATCTTTTATTGGTATTTTCACCCCCAACCTGTCAACCCCTAAGCGGGGGTGACAGGTACCCCCAAAATTTCAACAGGAAAAGCGAGTCGAGTGATGCGCCATTTGATAGCTATTTTTATTAGGATTATATTCCCAAAGTTTCAAGTTGCTACTATATACCCTATCCAAATGACGGCGTGTCAAATTTGTGTGTTTTTACCTCATAATAACAAAACAACATATTTTTCAAGTGAATAAACATAAACCATTTTAAGCTGAACTGTTGAATGACAATACTTAAATTAAATACCAATGAGATTTCATTACTAAGGATAGATACCCTTAAAAAATCTGTTATTTTGTTTTTATGTGGTAGATCTGGGCAAGCTACTTGGAAAAAGTAGCTAGCTACAAGTTACAAGCTACTTTATATTGTAAGTAGCTAAGTTACTCTGTAGCTCAACTCTATTGGTAACTTAACTACATATTGAATTAGTGAAAGCTACTATTTAAGCTACTTTTCTGAAAGTTAAATTAATGAAAACAAAAAAACGTGCACAATCGCCACCATCAATGTACAATCGGAATCATTGCAATTGGCACACACTCTTCAAAATCCCTCGTATTAAGTCAAAATTCTAACCAAAAAAATCTATTTAGTGCAGCATTTTGCTATTACTGTGTGTCAGATGTGACACATTACGAGGGATATTCACATACTGTGGGGCTCTTTCACTAATTTGTGAAATTGGCATATTTGGATAAAGCAACTAAAAACAGAATTTTCTGTATTTTTACTTTTGAAAAATTCATAGTCCTTCTTGAGAAAACAGAAAAAAAAGAAATACCTCCAAATAAAAACCCAGAATTTATTTCTATGACGTCGCAGCTCGCAATTTGACTGTGTTGCCACTAATTGTCAACATTGAAAATTTGTAATAGATTTAATTCTGAAATGTTGGCAAAATCTCATGAAAAGTAGTTAAATTAATTACTTAGTTATGGATTCAAGATTTTAATTTTTTTTTTTTTAATTATGCTTAAACACAATTTAATACAATTTTTTATGTTTAGTTTTATTTCTTTATTTTACGCTGCACTTCATTTAGTCACAACCGACAACAGCGCATTCGAACCATTACGTATCTTTACAGAGCGCAACACAGCCGAGCCGGTCAGCTTCTTGCAACAACATAAGCGAAATCAAGAATATTTATGTGACGTCAGCAAATCGGCGCGTTTTAAATAAGTTTGAATTTCGCCAGATTCAAGTGCCTGTAAAAACTTATTTAACCTTGTAGAAAATTTTTTTTTTGGTATATATGCCTAAAATAGTCCCTCCTTTGGGATTTTATACTTAAATTACGTATTTAAATTTTAGTGAAAGAGCCCATTGTAATGATTTCCACTGTACATACCTTACCTAATTTAATTTCATAATATCATCATACGAAAATAACATTTTAACTTTCTCTAGGAAGTAGTATTTATATTTTTGTTCAAAAACCCCTGGACATTAATTTATTAGGTTCACTTTGATCACAGTGATCTGCGAATGCGAGAATTAAACAGGACACATAAAACATAGGTACCTACAGAGATAAGTAAAAACTAGTCTAAACAAGGCAGAATAAAATTTTTTCGGAAAATGATAATTGTAGCTTGAGCAATTAAAGTATAAAGTTACTTTTATCGAGCGGTAAATTCTTACCGTCTCTTTTAGAAGATAAATCAGCTAGAATTATTTATTATATCTACCCAAGAACTATACCTACACATATTACCAAAATCGGTGTGGATAGTGGATACCTAATCATGGAGAATATAAAAGTTGTTGATTTTTGGAAGATAGAGCCAGTTTCATAATTAGACTTTAAAAGTTAAATGCTACTTTAAAAAATGTTGGTGTTTCATAATACTTTAATGTCAGTTTAAAGCCACTTTAAGAAGGTAAAGGGCCGATTTCCAGACTTTTATCCAACTTAAAGTACTATGTAACCTGAAATTCAGACCAAATCGCTAATTTGCTACCTTCTCAACATTTTGTTTTGTCTGTTTTCAATTTCAATTAACTGTCGACGTTATAAGACGGTACCAAGGAATATCATCTTTATCAAGATCAAGTTCATCTAATGAGGAACATCTGGAAATATTTTTAAGGAGAAGAAAACTTTATAGAAAAAGAAAAAATTCGATGGCTATCATCATAGCATAGTTGATTTTTTCGACAGATTTCGTTTAACAAAACCTACCGCTTCACTTCTCTTCCAACTAATCGGACATATGATTATAATGCCAACAAATAAGTAAGAATTATCATATTTTTAAAGAAAGGAATAATATGTTGTTCAGCAAAGATTTTTCAGAAGTGGAAATATTTCTCCAATGATCCAGTTTCTTCCAGGTAGTTTCTTAATCGCAATGGGAGATTTTATGGCCTTTATGGGGGTGTCAAAAGCTTCATCATATCGAATAGTTGAAAGGGTATCAGAAGCAATTGCAACTCTAAGGCCACGGTTCATTAAAATAAGTGGAGATAACCAGGAAATGGTAAGAAGTGCTGCTGAGTTCTACCAATTAGATGTTTCCCTAGAGCGATTGGAGTGATAGACTGCACGTTAATAAGGATAGAATCACCAGGTGATGATGTAGAAATATTTGGAAGCTTTCTAGGGTTTTTTTGCATTGAAGGTTCAGAAAATTTCAGAAGCTAATCTGAAAATTTGGAACATTATCGCTCGCTGGCCAGGTTCCACGTATGACCAGGCAATATTTGATAATTCACGAGTGAAAAGGGAACTTCATCCAACAAAAGAAGTTCCTCCTGTGTCGAGAAATTATCACCTCTTTTTGATTTCCTAACTTTGACAAGCCACCATTTCGGCAGGGTTAATAGCAGCAGCTTAAAACTTTGGGGATATAATCTTTATAAAAATATCTATCAAATGACGTATCACTTCTGTAATTTAGTGGTAAGTACCCTTCTAAATTTAGTGCACTCCTAGCTACAATTACTTTATGGCCTTGTGGTCCAGAACGAAACCTATTCCTTGTCATCGTTTTGTATCAGATTGCAGTTGCCCAGCTTTCCAAAAAAATGACGTGATCGGGGAAATAGTGCAGTTATCGTGTCGGGGCATAGGCGCATATGCGCTATAACCTCGATAGGTATTTCAAAATAATGTTGCGATAGTTGTCTTTCACTTCAGATGCCACGAACGGGCAAGAAAAAAAAAACGTTTGAAGTCAATGGGAGTTAGCAGACTTCAGAAAACCTGTCTAAGATGTCACGTCAAATAACTTGAATTAGAATATTTTTTTCTGTTTATCGGCGATTAATCCAAAAATTAGTGAGGTTTTATTAATTGTCGACTGATTTTTCGGAAATAAAAAATTTAATTTTGAAAATGTTGTGCTTTATTTACGAGGGGTGAACACATGGGGATGTATGGTGTACACACACAAGGATTTATGAGGATTTCCTAGGGATGTACAGGGAGATCTTTAAAAATCTAAGGATGTATGGTGATGTATAGGAATTACTTCGGATTTACCGGATTTATCGGGGATGTACCCAGGATGTAGTTCAAATTTATAGGAATTACCAGGGATGTAGTGGGGATGTATTATAGCGTTTTTCATTTGTTGCACGGAGGTGCACTCAGTGCAATTTTTATATTCCAACAAACATTATGATTATCATGATTTTAGTACAGTCGTGAGCACAAAAAGTGGGACACCCGTTTTTCCTATTGTAAAACGGGCTCACCAGCTACACCTACGGCAATGACAGGGATTGTCATATTTGACAAAAAATCGATTGTAAAGAAAAGACTGATTTACGCAAAATAGCGAAAAATGACAAAACCTGTCAGTCATTCGGGTGTCCCACTTTTTGTGCTCATGACTAGTCATGACTGTACACTGTACATAAGTAACCTTTTAAAATTTTGGGTATTTGCATAACCTTGAGCAATGAACTATAACCAAAAACTGGAATAGGGCAGTTTGATGTTTGACGTTCAAGATGGCGTTGCTGCATAACAAACTTTTGTAGATAAGCACTCTGCATTTTATCAAAAATCAAAAATCATAAAATTTTTTTTTAAAGATAATTCCCCAAGTCAAAAATTTAGTAACTATGTTGGCAACACAAGCCTTTTCTACATAAAAAATTTGAAAACATTGACAATTTTACATTGTATTGCCAACATAATGTCATTTTGACTTTTATCTTTAAAAAAAAAACAGATATTATGAACTAGTTTCAGACTGCTAACAGTTCTGGAGTACACGAACAACTGATCAGAGTTAAAGAAAATCATTTTGATGTAACTTAGATTTAGGCCTTTCTACCTACTTGGGGCACAGCTTCTTGAGCAGTGGCGACGCCAGGGTTTTACGTTAGGGGGGGCCAGGCTGAGCCAGAAAAAATTAGGGGGGGCACTTGTTCTTACTTTATTGCTTTTCTTCTTTGAAATAAAAAATGGGAATTGCAATGTTTACCCGTATATTTTTGCACTCCACCTTAACAGCTTAATTGAGTGTATCAAAAAGATTTTTATTTGGATTTTGTATACAGGGTGTCCGTTTTTCGAGGATAACCATTGAAATATAGGAAACGGTAAGAGATACAAAATCGGAATCAATCGCTAAATGTGTTACTGCTTTTGGGAGATCAAGAAACTCCGAATACAATTCATACAAATGCAAACCTCTATTTAAAAAAATAAAGTTGATGATGATCGGCAAAAGACGAAACGTCGGATTTCAAATTTGGTTACACCATTATGTAGAGGGGAGAAAGTTGACCAATAAAGTGAAGTTTATTTGAAATACCTTTACAAATGATTCCAGGAAAATATAGAAATGATTTTACAAAATTTTGATTTCCAATTATCTCCGGAAGTATTCGGAATTTTCCAAATCTCGAAGTAGCGTTTTGTCTATGGTTTTGTTAAGCAAGAAATTGCGCAACTTTTGTCCCAATTTAACCGAACCAGTATCTCTTACCGTTTCCTATATTCCAATGATTGCTCTCGAAAAACGGACACCCTGTATATAGGTAAATCTTCTTGATACCTATTCAATTAACCGTTCAGGGTCGGTTTCTCGATAGCTAGTCCAGGGTAGACGTGTGCAATTGTAATGTTTACCCTGGAGTTATGGTTAACTGCTCTGACCCGGGGGTGACTTGCTTGCTATTGAGAAACCGGCCTTCCGGTGAGGTGCCAAAAATCAAAAATACACAGGAAAACCCTGTACCTGCCGACACAAATATGTTTGAGGGAATCCCAGAAAAGCGAAAGCATAGTCGCGGTTGCCTGGCGCCCACCATATATCAAATTAACCAGAGAGCAGAGGTTACTCATGTTGCATTGCATTGTTGTCGACATGAGGGCAAGTTTTCAGAAGGGGCCAGCTGGCCCCGGCCTCCCTGGCCCCCCCTTGCCCCCCCTGGCGTCGCCACTGTTCTTGAGGTCCGTTTTGTACCTGATGTCGATGTCCAGGTATTTTATTGAAAGATAAATATTCCAAGTAACTACGAACATTAACGGAAATTGAAATAAATTAAAATTCATCAAATTAAACTCTGAAATGGGTAGAAATAAGTGAAATAACACACTATTATATCTGTGTTTATATGGAGGCATGTTTAACCTCAATGGTTTGTTTACATTTGTGTCGCATCGCCATCTTGAATTATCAGCTGATTCGAACTGCCTAAAGGCGGTTACACACGGACGTGGATGTCTGAAAACATGTACCTACGCACATACATGAACGCTCAAACAAAAACATCAATTTGTATGCAAAATAAAGTCGGCGTCGCGTTTTTGAATGTGCAATTTTGTATGCACACTCGGAATACTGTGGCAAGAATAGCAAGACTGCAGTTTTGTGCGAGCGTCTGTACAAAGGCGCCATGCACGTTGTTGTTTGCACGTTGATGTATGCACGTATATGTATTAAGCCATCCACGTTCGTGTGTAACCGCCTTAATGCTCACACATATTGACGAACGTGAAGCCTAGTGCAGCTGCTGCGGAGGGGATACCTGTTTTTGTCGCACTCATTATGTTAAATGGCAGAAATTGCTTCCATTACGTATTCCAGTTGATGAAACCTGTGAAGCTAAATATGACAAAACTTTCCAAAACGTCATATGTCAGCGAGCAACAGAAAAAAACAACATTCCACTTTGTGGCATCTGTCTTTCATGGCCTCATTTTTTTGGCAGATATGGCAATGTGTGCGCATTCCAGTTTTTTGCTATAGTTCATTGACCTTGAGAGACATTGCATTTTTGATCTATATTTATACTGCACTAGTGTGCGTTTTTGACAGCTTCAGAAAAATTCTCGTGCGCAGTGAGTGCTGCACGGAGGCGACAAATGGAAAATGCCATAAGAAACAGCGAACGCTTACTGAAATTATTTCTTAACCACGCTATATGAAACTTTTATCTCTTGCATATACTAAAAAAACGCAGCTTATGATTCCCTCCTAATTTACTTAGGTTAATTTTTTCCCTTGTTTTTTCCTAATCCAAATAAGATTTGAACTTTCATTTACTTCCATTAAGTATGTAAGTATAGCGATTCACTATTGCGTTGTTGTTTTTTTACAGGGTGTCCCACGGTGGATGACGTATTAGACATTTATGGAGAACTAAAAAGCGGATCATTTTGAAAATTTGGCAACCGGGATAAACGACCATGATCTACATTTTGAAAATATTTTTGACCATGCGGTGTTGCAACTGTTTTGGAAATATTGACAGTTGAAAATTGACTTTTCGTAACTTAAACAGGCTGTAAAACCTGAACGGTTAATTTTAGAGGAGAACCGATTTCACATACCTATCTTAGATTTTCATAAACTATCATTTGACACCAACTTTCAGTTTAACCGGAGATTAAATTTAATTGAAATTTTTAATCATGGATTAAATTCAAAGTTGGTGTCAAATGATAGTTTATAAAAATCTAAGACAAGAATGTAAAATTGGTTTTCTTCTAAAATTAACCGTTCAGGTTTTACAGCCTGTCAAAGTTGCAGAAAGTCAATTTTCAACTGTCAGTATTTCCAAAACAGTTGAACTTAGGTATAGGGTATATTACATAAAATCTGTTCAGAATTTTACGCAGAATCCAAATATGCAATCACATACAGGGTGTTCTATTTAAAATAGCGATGTTGCCACTGGTTTGGAGTAGAAGCGGCAACACCGCATAAACAAAAATATTTTAAAAATGTAGATTATGGTCATTTATCCCGTTTGCCAAATTTTCAAAATCATCCGCTTTTTAGTTCTTCATTAACGTCTAATACGCCATCCACCGTGGGACACCCTGTATATTGTGTAAAAATGTGAATAAATAACATATAAGACCTCACACTAATAAAGAATTTATGTCATTCCAATTTATTATTTGACAATAATCAACCTAATTCAGGTTTTTTACAGACATAATTAACCTGGGAATGTTATTTTTTCATAACGCCCTAGGGCATTATAAACAATTGAAAAGCCAGTTGTATATCGGTTTCACACCGGCTAAATTGCTTTCAGGAATTTAACCTTTATTTTGGAAGAACATGACAAGAATAGCAAAATTTCAACCAAAAAATGTCACAGGTAAAATTCATAGTTATTTATACACCAAGTGAGTTAAATGAATGTTTATTCATGAGAAGAAGGTTTTCTTCGAATGAATAAACATTTCAACTCACTTTTTTATTTGTCTATCGATATTAATGTAACTTGGTAGGGTTGATATTCTAACCAAACGACATTTTTATGCATCTATGACAAGTTTTCCAGACTTCCGGTTTCACCGGAAATGACCGGAACTTTTGATTTTTAAATGGCACCTCCTGTATATTTTTTGTTTTTCGGATTCTAGAGATTCACCACTTTTAAATAGAGTTTTGTCCAAATTTTGTTTTTAAATTAAATTTTAATTTTTCAACTAGAGTGCCATGATCATCCTAAAATGACTCTACATACTTTACTTAGTTCCAGAAAAATACAAACTCAATTTTATCTTTGTAAACTTTTTTGAGAGAGAGCTGTAAACTTCATTATTTTAGTATTTTTGCCCTAGCTCGAAAACTGGAATAGAAACATATCACTTTCATAACATTACTAAATGCAGTATTTTAAAGCGAATCCAACGATATAATACACTACGACATTTTTGTTAATTTTCGTTCAAACATTTTTGTTTTATTATGTAGGCAATTATTTATTTTTTTCTACTTAAAATTCAATTTGGACAAAACCAGATTTAAGAGTGGTACATTAGAACGTAAAACGATCTGAAGAATCCGAAAAATAAAAAATATACAGGATGTGCCATTTAAAAATCAAAAGTTCCGGTCATTTCCTGTAAAACCCGAAGTCAGGAAAACTTGTATAGATGCATAAAAATGGCGTTTGGTTATAAAATCAACCCTACCAAATTTCGTTGATACCGATGAATAAATAAAAAAATGGCAGCTGGAAAGTAATCTCGTGGGCACCTGGTATACACCAAGTGAGTTAAATGAATGTTTAATAAACATTTTAACTCACGCGTGATATATACAAAATTTTATCCCATTTTGATGGACATTTGAAAAATAAGGTACTTAATAGGAATCAAATTATAAAAAGAATCCATTTAGTCAGCGCATATCCAATATTGAAACTGGTAGTTGCTGAGGTATAACTACACCTTTTCCAATTGTATTTCAGAAGCTGTCAAATGTATTTCAGAAAGTAAATGTATTTCAGAATAGCCAAATGTATTTCAGAAAGCGTTAAATGTATTTCAGAATAGTCAAATGTATTTGAGAAAGCATTAAATGTAATTCAGAATAGTCAAATGTATTTGAGAAAGCGTTGAATGTATTTCAGAATAGTTAAATGTATTTCAGAAAGCGTAAAATGTATTTCAGAATAGCCAAAAGCATTTCAAAAAGTGAAAATTCGGCGGAAATAATTCAGGAGGGAGGCGATACAAAAAATTACCTACCTATGTCTGTGCAGTTCTTCCTACGTGAGCTCGACTGACCCAACAGGAGCTTAATACACCTTTTCCAACAGTATTTTGGAAACCTTCAATAGTATTTTAGAATAGCCATTTGTATTTAAGAAATCCCCATATGAATAATGGAATAAATAATTGTATTTCAGAAAGCAACAGTTGTATTTTGGAATAACCACTTAAACTTGGAAATGATTCAAATGTAGTTTAGAAAAAATAATTTAATTTAAGAAAGCATCAGATAAATTTTTGAATTACCAATTTAACTTAGGAAACCGTCATTTGTATTTTAGATCAAACCATATGTATTTAAGAAAGTTTCAATTGTAGTTTAGAATTATGTAGTATGCAGTATGCCTTTGCTATATAATACTTCATCTTTGCCAGGTGTCAAACTTGCTGTCCCTTTATTAGGTCTTTGTCTTCTACTACCTATCTTTTATAATTTATGTAGTTTTTATAATAAAAGTGATTTTGCATAGATAAGTAATTGTGAAGCTTCAGAAATATGAATCTTCGAGACAGTTGTGGTATTTGCCGAGTAACCATGTTAAGATCAGTTTTACGAATGGTTCCCTGTAACCATCTCTTCCATGCGCATTGTGTTGAAGAACGTAGGCTTAATACACCAGGATCAATGTTCAATGTGTAGAACCGAAATAACAGGATTTGTTGTTTTGTTATTTTTTAAAAATTCCCCTTTTATGTCAAATATGCGACAAGAGATGTTCATCTCTGTTAGTATTTATACATACCTATATGTAATCTAAAATTCAATTTATCGTTTCTTAAATTCAAATGATTGTTACTGAAATTCATATGTTGTTTCTAAAATACAATTGCTTCAATTGAAAATACATATAACTTTTCTAAAATACATTTGAAATTATCGATAATACAATTCTTACTTCTAAAATACTTTTGAATATTTCGCAAATACATTTGAAAAATCTAAAATACACATGGATCTTTCTGAAATACAAATGTTTATTCTAAAATACAAATAACACTTTCTTAAATCCAAGTGATACTTTCCTAAATACCGTTGGAAATGGTGTAGTAGCATTTAACTATTCTGAAATTCATTTAACACTTTCTGAAATACATTTAACTATTCTGAAATACATATAACTATTCTGAAATACATTTGACGCTTTCTGAAATACATTTAACTATTCTGAAATACATTTGACGCTTTCTAAAATACATTTAACTATTCTGAAATACATTTGACGCTTTCTGAAATACATTTAACTATTCTAAAATACATTTGACGCTTTCTGAACTACATTTGACTATTCTGAAATACATTTGACACCATCTGAAATACAATTGGAAAAGGTGTAGTTGTTTGTTTGTTTTTGTATTAGATTTTTATACTGGAAGAGATGACTCAAAGACCGAGAGTGAGTTAAACATATTTTATTTACGACTAATGTATAATGTGCGTATTATATTTGTGATTTTGGCAGTATAATGACATATGTTATTCCTCCAGGGATTAATGACGAGTAGCGGGATTAATGGTCATTATTCCACAAAAGTGTCAGTGTCAAACGTGTAGTGCTTGTGGATTTGTATTGAAAATTAGGAGACGGATGAAATTTGTTCATTGAAAATCTCAAATAAATTAATTTGTCGTAAATAAAGTAGAGTATACTACTCGCAATAATGGCTATTATTCCCTCGGAATGTTACTCCCTCGCCGCTAACGCGGCTCAGTTCGTAATAATCCTCGGGAATAATAGCTATCATTATTGACTCGTGGTATAATCTACTATTAAGTCATTCAGGTGATAAACGTCTACTCACCTTTGTTATTATGCGTTCAATAATGTCATTTTTAAACGTCAAAATGGGATAAAATAATTTAAATTTAGGAATTTAGATAGGTACGGAATGAGAATACCAGTAAAACATAAAACGTTGAAGTCACCACGGGCAATATGAACTAAAGGGTCGATGTACACCCTTCGGGCGAAATGCCCTTGGCTTGTACTCTATCGGATCTCGGGGACTTATCTTATTTGGCTCATATTGCCCTTGGTATCTAAATAATTAAAATGTTTCTAACGAAATATGCCTTATTTATGTACAGGAATATTATTATTAGGTAATAATGACCATAATAACAATAAAGGATTTACTGGGATGTAGGCAGTTTATCAAGGAATTACTAGAATATGCAAGGATTTACCAAGGAATTACTATGATGTACTAGGATTTATTGAGATGTAGTAGGATTTCCTAAGGATTTCTAAGAACCGGGGGAATACTTAGGTGATTTACTCAAAAAAGGGATGTAGGTGTACACTTTTTGCCAAATGTGTTCACCCCTCATTTATTTATGAAATTTATTGCTACTTGTTACTTTGTCATATGGGGCAATAGCGTCACTGTGCTGCGCTATTACTCCGATAAGTAGGGGTAATAGTAATAGCGCAAATACAGATTTTTTTATTTTTCAATGATAAACAAAAAAAGAAAAATCTTTGCAAAGTTTTGCATTTGGAGCATGAAAATATATAAAATTAGTAACAGATAAGAAAAAACAAATTTTTATCTCTAAAATCCTTTAATTTACAAGCGATCAAAATTTCACCTGCGCTAATACCCCGACCTCCCCTATGTACCTATGTATTTTTTTATCATTATGTTAACAAAATAAGAAATTGTATGAAAGTAATAAAATACGTACTAATAACATGCGAATAACCTATAACAGTTGAACGTTCCAAATCGAAAAATCTTGCAGCAGTAAATTTGACTTGTTGATGTTCGATTTGATCGTAAAACTCTCGCAGTTCCAAATATCTACAACAAAAAAGTCTTTAATATTTATTTCAAATTTAATACTACTAACCGTTCAGAATCTAAGGGCACATTTTCCTGCAATAACAGACAAGTTTTTTGCAACTTTTTGGTTTGATTATTAGCATGATGTCCAAACAAAGTAACAACAAGAGGTATAAACTAAAATACAAAAAACAATTATTGTTAAATAATTTAAAAAATAAATTCTTTCTTACTACTCCACATCCGTGAAAAACTACGGTATAAATCGTATAAATTGTGGCATTGATTTCACCACTCTTATACTTCATGTAGCTTGTAGTCGTGTATAAAATTGCATTGTAGCCATAATAGAAGAATATCAAAAATAGAGATCCACCAAATAGTTTGTTGAATAGTCGACAAACATGTAGCATTTCTTGATAGATTTTTCTGCATTTTCTCAAAGTAATTCGTTTATTTGGAACTAGTAATTTTTCAATATCATCAAATTTTTCTTTAATTATTAATAGAAAATTGATTGCATTAAAAACCATATTAATAATACAATATACGTTAAATCTTCTGTATAGTTCATAATACACTTTAGTATTATTTTCTGTGGTATTATATGTTATTATTGCCCCTAATAAGGCTCCATATAAATAAATATTTATAATCAGATAATAAAGTCCTGAACATTTTAATAAAGATTCCTGTTTATATTTAGTTGTATTTAAGTTCTCATTATCTTCTAATTCTGTTATTTTTTCTAATAATTCTCGCCAAGACTGCCTGCAAAATATCGTGACAAAAAATGTATAGAACACGCTCGAAATGGACCAGAAAGCCAATAAAATGTCAATTAACAAAAAAAATCGATTATTTAAATAACGCTTGTCATTGGCAAGTTCATTAATACCGCGAATAGCAACAAAACTTCCAACCGAAACTAGGCCAATCAGATAAAGTATTTGTATTCGAATATTTACTAATTCAAGTTTTTTAAAGTTGAAAAAAGGCACCACGCACCACAAACTCATCGACCAATACATCGGTTTGAGGGTTAAGATATTTTTTCGAGAATATTTCCACATCGTGGAATGTCAACTACTGAAATGCAGGAGAGTTTGCTGGTTGCTAGTTTCTAAAAATAATTTTAATTAACTTGATGGTATTTATTTTGTCGGATAACGTAAGACTTAAGAGATATTGAAATTGAATAATAATTAGTGGAATAAATTAAAATTTAAGTAGGTAGGTAGGTATGTACTTGAATTCCAATCCATGGATATTTAAGTATTTTTATGTCATACCAATACATTATTGTGTTAATCTACGTCGGTGTCATTATGACACATTAAGCATTGTCATTTGAATGTCATTAGGTCCTTCATAATAGCACTAGTGCGTTTAAGAATTCATAATAACACCCAAATTTTGAAATGAAAAATATACAAAAAGAAAGTTAGTTGCCAGAAGAACCTTTTCAATAATGCTGTCTCTATATTCGAAGAGACACTTTCGAACTCAGAATCACCAATAATAATATTATTTTCCACTATAAAATTGAATTTATGGCACAAAAATGGACTCCAATATTGAAGCTGCCAAAGTCAAAATTCTAAAAACCAACAAGCAGGTTCTCGACTTGTACGGGCACCTGCTAAATTTCAAATTTTAATTTGAAAAGTTTTTGCTATTTCAAGGCAAATCAAATCTATTTGGACCATTGTAGATTAAATTTTGAATGATACACGTTCGATATGAACTTTATTAATGAAACTTGTGTAACTAAACCACTCGGCTGACGCCTCGTGGTTTAACGTTACACGCGTTTCATTATGGCGTTCATATCGAACTTGTATCATTAATAACTATTTTATACCTTAGATACCATCTACATAATTCATTACTTTATGCCCGTGCGGGCATAAAGTACACAGTATGGCCCGCGCGGGCATAAAGACGCAAAAAACAGTTTTCAATGAACTTATTCTTTATTAACAAAATATAAATTTACGCTTATAAACATATTATTTTTGTCAAAAAATGATGATTTGCACACTGATGACAATTTGCGAAGTGAGACTTTTTTCCCAGGTATTTATTATTCACAACCAACTGGTATGACATAAAAGTTTGTATGCACCACGGGTACTAATAGATATGTATACCCTCGGGCGACTTACGAACCCTCGGGCCAGAGGCCCTCGGCTTTGTAAGACTGTCGCCCTCAGGGCATAATCTTCTACTTAGTACCCTTGATACATAAATAACTATTTCGATCTGATCGTAATAATTACATAATGTTTGTTCCAAATAGGGAAAAAAAATTCATTTAAGTACTACAACTACATTATTCCCAGAACAATTATAAAAAATGTTTGAGAGTAGTCCTAGAAGAAGTTCTAAAGAAAGCGTGTGAAGTTAGTAGCCGATTCTCAGCAACGATTACCACCAACAGTAGTTAAAAGTCAATTTTTGTATAAATTCTAACATTTTGGACGTGGGCAATGATAAATATATACTTTTTATTAGTGATGAGCAAATGCAAGATCATGACCAAGACCGGGCTGGTTTTGGTCTTGCATATGCGGGCTTAGTCCCTTGCAGTCTAATAAGTGGTCTTGGTCTTGCAGCAAGACACTTGCAACTCTTCCATTTATTTGGTAGATTTTTACTGGAGAGAATTTTTACGAAGAAAATGCATAAGGAAGACTTAAGCCTTGGCTTTTGGGAATGGTGATAGCATATGCCATATACAAATTGGAAATTGTTCTCTATGGACGCATGTACGACTAATAATCTTAAATTTGGAGAAATTTCATAATGAAGTCCATTGTTAAACTTTGTTTCAAAAGCTTTGACCAGAGAACCATTTACCAGACCCAACCTATTATCCATATTTGGCTTTAACATAATTCTAACTCCTTCTTTGAGTACAATACTTTCTTCTAATCCCGCTGTCATTGAGTCGTCCTCTTTATGTTTTTTAAGCGCTTCACGGACTCTTTTTAGAAGAAATTTTGGAAAGTTCAAGTTATCTGAAGCGATGAGTTCAACATATGGACTAGGAAGAGCTTCGAGCATTGAATGCTGCTTACAAATACTGTGCATTTAAGAGAAGAGTCTGGGGAGCAGGCTTACGGAGCTACGAAGGATGCAGAACGATATTCCGCGTGTGGCTAAAATCACTAAAATGTTGCACCGATCTTAATGGGTTCGTTTAGGATCGGCTAAAATACGCACACATAGCTTGCACATACGCACTGTTTTTGGAGCAAATGGTCCCAGGTTCGATTCTCGTTGAAAGCAATCCTTTTTTTTTACCAACATATAAAGACTAGCCCTTATCACGAATTATGGTGAAGCTCCGTCTGTCTGTTCCCCAGACTATTGTGTTTAACGATAGCTGTGAAGGGTGGTCAAATTTTCAGGGTTTTTGTTTTCTTTCCATGGGTTTCGCCATAATTCAGCCTTCAAGCATATTTGGAAGAACCTTAGAGTTTTGATGATCTATACATGAGTGAGTGATAAAATTGGCGTTTTTTAAGGCCATGTAACTTTTTTGTTGGTTGATGGAAATCGATGAAATTTAATTTTAGTATTAGGTCTATAAAGGTCTACCACTGTGCAAAATTTCAGTTTTTTAGGACACTTCAGAGCTGAGTTACAGGTAGGTCGAAAATGACCTGAAATGTTTCGAGAAAAGGTATAGTAGTAAAAGTAGTGCGCAAACTTGGCGGATACAGATATTTTTTGTTCATTAATATTTGCTCTTTATGTTGAAAATTATTTTTCACTTTTTAGTTCAATTTACTATAAAAGCGTGTTTTTAAGTTTTTTAAAACTTTATTTATTTTTCACTTTTTAGTTCGATGTATTATTTTGTTGTTCATTTTTTTATTTTGAAGAAAAAAACTTTAATTCTTATTTGTGTTTTGTTTATATTTTGTGGGATTATTGAGATTATGGTGTGACCGGTGCGACATCTGGAGTGTGCCCGAAGTACTTTCTGAACGGCGCGCACTCGGTGTGCCTATAGCATTTATGAACGGCTAGTGCGTCGCACCGGTATCATACTCACACTGAGTGTGTCATTCCTGAATTCGCCCCAGAGATTTCCAGACTTTTGCAGACATTATCCAGACTTATTCAGAGCTTTCCAGCGTTTTCCAGATTGATCCGGATTCTGTAAAATGATCCCCAAGTCTTTTGGGACCTTTTCCAGAATTTTTTCGACCCTTTCAAGAAGCTTCCAGGCCCTTTCAGACGTTTCCAGAGATTTCCAGACTTTTCCAGACAATATCCAGACTTATCCAGAGTTTTACAGACTTCATCCAGATTTATCCAGCCCTCATCCAGAAATGAACAGACTGCTCCGAATTCTAGAAAATTATCCCCAGGTCTTTTGGGACCTTTTCCAGACTTTTTCCGACCCTTTCAAGAAGTTTCCAGGCCTTTTCCAAACGTTTCCAGACATCTCCAGACATTATCCAGACTTATCCAGAGCTTTCCAGAGTTTTACAGACTTCATCCAGATTTATCCAGCCCTCATCCAGAATTGAACAGACTGCTCCGAATTCCAGAAAATGATCCCCAGGTCTTTTGACGCGTGTGAAGTTAGCACCCGATTTCCAGCAACGATTTTTCAGGAGAAGCGCATTACCGCCAGCGGTAGTTTAAATTCTAACGTTTTGGACGTCGGCAATGATAAATACATAGGTATAAAAAAAGCAAGTTTTTAAAATTTCTACAGAAAAAAAAACTTTTCATCGGTAGGAAATTTGTGTTTTCCAAGAATGTGTTTTCCAATACAAAATTGACATGACAGAAAACATTTTTTTTTTCGAAAACTAAAAGATGTGTCACTCTAATTTTTTTTTCAAAATGAAGGTCTGATAATAAGCTTCCATTAAATCCACCAGAGAAAAATTTTTCATCGGTAGAAAATTTTTTATCAGTGAAAATTCGAGAAGGTGTTTTCGAACACGAAACTATTATGAAAGGAAATATATTTTTTTTTTCGAAAACTAAAAGATGTCACTCTAATTTTTTTTTCAAAATAAAGGTCTGATAGTAAGCTTCCATTAAATCCACCAGAGAAAAATTTTTCATCGGTAGAAAATTTTTTATCAGTGAAAATTCGAGAAGGTGTTTTCAAACACGAAATCAATATGAAAGGAAATATTTTTTTTTTTTCGAAAACTAAAAGATGTGTCACTCTAATTTTTTTTTCAAAATGAAGGTCTGATAATAAGCTTCCATTAAATCCACCAGAGAACAATTTTTCATCGGTAGAAAATTTTTTATCAGTGAAAATTCGAGAAGGTGTTTTCGAACACGAAACTAATATGAAAGGAAATATATTTTTTTTTTCGAAAACTAAAAGATGTGTCACTCTAATTTTTTTTTCAAAATAAAGGTCTGATAGTAAGCTTCCATTAATTCCACCAGAGAAAAATTTTTCATCGGTAGAAAATTTTTTATCAGTGAAAATTCGAGAAGGTGTTTTCAAACACGAAATCAATATGAAAGGAAATATTTTTTTTTT